CTTCCTGGTTCAGTGACTTTGGACAAGTTATTTCACCTTTGTAAGCCTCAGTGTCACAATCTGTAAAATGGGGCTTCTCCTACTTCACACATTCCAAGGATGGCATAAAGTAATGCTTGCCTCTCCCCTGCTTTATTCTCTTCCACAGCACTTACCACCGTCCTTCCTTACCAGTTTACTTACTATTTTATTTATTGTCATTCTCCGCCAACTAAAATATAAGCTCTGAGACAGCAGAGACTCTTCTCTGGTTCACTGCTCAATTCCTGATGCCTAGAGCAGCATCTGGCCCATAGAAGTTGCTCGGTAGATATTTGTTGAATGGACAAATAAATGAATAAAACTAAGACATGAAGTGTTCGGAGGCTGTGTGAAACGCTATTATTAATTCCTGTTGGGAGAAAAGCTGTTACCAAAGACCATTGTCCAAGTCAGTATAGGTGTTTGCAGTGCCTGGTGCTCTTTAAGGCCAAGCCGCCTGTTGCACTTTCTCCCTGATACAAGGCCCTGCCCACTGTTGGAGAATGGGGGACCTGACCTTTGCGTGTTCTAGGGACAAGTGAATCACAGATGAAGAGGAACTGGGTGAAAGAGAAGTAAATAACGTGGAAGAAGAATTGGCGACAGGATTCCCAGAACTCCTGGAGAGCTCCATAGAAGCCAGAAGCAGCAGAAATCCTTCTCTTGACAACCCCAGTGATAGGAGTCAGTCAGGACATCAAAGAGCTCTCCCAGGGGCCCACACATGCAGAGAGGGTCCAGGCAGCCTCTGCTGCAAAGGCTGGGATGGGATGGTAGAACAAAACTGTATTCTCTGACCAGAACTGATGTGTTAAAATCACAGCCAGCAAAGGTTTAGAAAATGAAAAAAAATGAAAAGTTAACTTGCTTTATTAATCTGTGCATTTACAATGGCAATAATGATGCTTAAACCTTTCATCTTCAAAGTGCCTTCTACCACGAAGTGATGTACAAACGGGGCTCAGCCACACATGATAAGGAATGTGTTATTCTGATGAACAGGACTGAAAGGACTCCACTTCCCACCACCCTGCTGACTTGACACGCTCTAAAAGGAAAGTCTGGTATCAAAACCTAAATCTAAACAGAAATAAATCTAAACAAAATAGCAAACACCAACATGCATTAATTGGACCCATTTATTTGTACCAAAACCAACATTCTCTCCACTCCTCGTCCTCAGGGTATTGCTCTTGTTATTGCAGTTCATTTCTTTCTTTCTTTTTCTCTTTTCATCTTTCAATATGTCCTTCCAAGATTCTCACAATGTACTTCAGATTCCAGACTCTCTTATGGAAAACATATGTCCTTGGAAATATATTGTACCACATTGAAGTTCTGGGGCCAGTTGTATTTCTGTCCCAGGATTAAGTAAGGAACAACAATTGTTTGTAGGGCTGGAAGGAACCTCGGGGTTAGTTACTCAGCCAAAAGAACCACACGGAAAGCAAAGGGAGAATTTCTAAAAGATCTCTAAGAGAAGAAGGCCATATCCTGCTAACCTGTGCCCCTGGTTTATTCATTCATTTATCTGTTTTATTCATGTGACATTTACTGAAGGTTTACCATGTGCTAGGTACTATGCTCAGCACCGAAAATACCAAGATCGGTATGCTCAGTCCCTGCCCTCCAGAAGCTTCCAGTCTGAGAGAGGAGACAGGCCGTTCTATCAGGGCAGCAGTCCAATTTAACAAGGCCATGACAAAGGAGCCTGTCAGATCCCATCGTGGGGCAGCAGTGCGGGGATGGCTAGGAAGACCTGCTCAGAGGAGGGAATGCTTTTAAAGGAGAATAGGAGGGAGGGAGATAAAGAGGAAGGTGAGGGTACTTTACACAGAGGAAACTATAAATGCTACATAAAACAATATGACATAGATGATGCTGAAACTAATAACTGGAATGTCATGGGCATTCACAGTGGCCAAAATCCACTGGTGTGGTCCCTACCAGTGCATATGGGCTACAGATCTTTCCTACAGTATGGAAAATCTCCAGGAAATATAGTTGAGTGAAAAAAATCAAAGTACAATGTAGAGTGTTAGAAGTCAAGATGGTTGTTACCTTAAGGAGATCGTGAGAGGAGGGGGCAAGAGAGGGTGCCAGAGTGCTAGGTTTCTGTTTCTTGATCAGGGAGCTGGTCACACAGGTTTGTTTTATTTGTAAAAATAAATCAAGTTGTACATGTATGAAAAGTGCACTTTTCAGTGCCTATATTCAAAAACATGTCATATGTTTAACAAAATGTTCAAAAAAGCAAAAAACCATGAATTCAAGCATGGCACAAGTCACTGTGAATGGCTCCAGCAAATAGCATATGTGGAGATGAAAATAGAGATGTAGACCAAAGCCACATTATGAGAGCCTTGTATACTGAATTGAAAGTTTGGCCTTTGTCCTCCGAGCTTTGAGACTCTATGCGGAGAGTCTGAGCAGGTAATGGAGCTGAGGGGTGTTGAAGAGTGTCACCTCCAGAGTTTGGCCCCTGGCTCCACAATTTAGTTACTGTGTGCAAACTTCAATCTCTTCATCTGAAAAACATACTAATAATTGTGATTGCCTTCAAAGATATTTTGAGAATTAAATAAGATAGTGTACAAAAAATATTTAGCATAGTACTCACTATATTCAATAATAAATACTTGTATTTTAGAAAGCTTACTAGGCAGAATGAGAACAGGTGGAGATGGCCGGACCCAGGACAGGGAGACAGATCAAAAGTCTACAGCAATAACGCAGTGAAGAAGTAATGGGCAGGGGGAATTGAAGGGGTATCAGTAACTCTGAGGGGCAGAGTTAATAGGACTTGATCTGGGAGATGAAAGAGACAGCAAAGTCTAAGGTGACACGCATATGTCTGGCTCAGCTGACTGTGAAGGTGGCGATGCTGTCAGAAATTCAAGAGACGGAATAGATTTGGGGGGAAGATCATGCATCTAATTTGAAACCTTTTGAGTTTAGGAATCCTGGGAGACATCCAAGTGGTGAGGTCCGCAGGAGCTCAATAGAGGTGTTTGTCTAAAGACATAGATTGGGAAGCATATCAAAGACTGCTGAGGGCATATGAGAAGATGAGGTCCTTCAGGGCTGGGGTGCTGAGTGAGAAGAGCAACAGCGGAGCCCTAGGTAACAGGCGTGTGAGGGAGGGCCAAGAAAGGGACCTATGAAGGCGTCTGAGAAGAAAGAAAGGTAGAAGAAACAACCAAGAGAGTGTCATCGTGGTAGCCAAGAAGCGTGTCATCAACTGTGACAAATGCCACCAAAACATCTGGTTAGATGAAGACAAAGAAGTGACTATTGACTTTCAATAAGGCAGCCAATGGTGACATTGGGGAGAGCAATTCCAGGGGAATAACGGGACCACAGCAGGGTTGCTGTGGATTGGAAGAAGGCAGACAGCACGTGCAGTCAAGGGGAAGGAGAGACACAGTGCAGGATGTTGGGGGGGGACCAGGAGTCCGGGCTCTTTTTCTAAAGTTGAAGGAGTCTTGTAACTTTTTCTGGAATTCACCATCTCCCACTCTGAAAACCTTTAGATCTTCTCCCCACCCTCTCTGTCCTCTGTCTTTCCTCCCTTCATCCTTCCTTCCTTCTTTCCTTCCTTCCTCCCTCCCTTCCCACTGTGCATTTCCTCTCCAGAATCCAAGGAGTAACATATAACTTGGAACACTTAATGTATTATGCTTTTAAGTGCTTTTAAAATAAGATGTTGAGAAGTGGGTATATTCAGGCAAGGGAGCCAGAACCCAGCTGAGAGAGGAGACAGGTCAGGTCTGAGAAGAAGGGCTCCCTCTGGGCCAGCTGCCCTACCCTGCTGCTCTTAGGACTGTCCGTGGCCCACGATGGCTCGTGCCTTAGTGAGTGTGAGGGAACACATTCATCCTTTGCCCCTCTCCTTGCTGGGGGTGAAGCCTTTTCTCCCACTTTCTGGCTTCAGCGGCCCTGCGGGCAGCTGGCAGCAGCCTTCCTGCTCCGACTCTATGTGGCCATGTCCTGGCTGGGCCTCCAGCTGCTGCACCCAGCTGGTGATTGCTTGTCTCCTGAACTTGGCTTGCACCATTTCTCCTCTGGCTTCCAGATAGGGCTCAAAACATACTGTCTGCAGGACCCCTCTTGTCCCTGTAAGTGTCCCCATCACTGTTTATTGGTCATTTTGCATTTCCTGAGAGGCTACTGCAAGTCACTCTCATATTAGTATAAATAATAACACTTTGCCTCACTGGTGATAAGGAGTCAGGAGGAATTTACCACAGTGTCTAGTGTAGGTTCCATACAGCGTCAGTCCCCATCGAAGGGTGGCTCAGAGAAGCTAAGGGCTTTACATCTGTGCTAGACCATAAGCTCCTTTAGCAAGGGGGGTGGGGGGGCTTGTCTCTTACATCTTTTCACACCCCTCCACCACGTCCTGCCTAGAGCTTTAACTAGTCATTAATTCTACACACATTTATTGATTTATGAACACCTAGTGTGTGCCAGGAATGGCGCTAGGTAAGCTGGGAATTCAGCAGTGAACCAGGCAGACGAGGTCCCTACCCTCGTGGAGGAGACAGCCAACAAGGAAATGAATACGATAACCACAGGCTGTGGAAACGCTTTGAAGGAATTGAACAGAGCCATGCAGCAAAGAAGGGGACACGTTTATGCTGAGACCTGAAGAACAACACGGAAGGAATAAGTTGTCCCTTAGCCTTCTCTTCTTGTTTAGTAGCTCCTGCTCCTTTAACTTTTCTTTCAATAAAATCTTTATTTAAAAAGATATAATAACGTGACATGTTATGCATTTTCCAGGTTAATGAGTTCACAAACCACCAGCACGTCTGTTCACTAATAAATCATAATCTCTCTCAGGGTTGTTTCTTTCACCTGCTTTATGAGGGTGGCAGCCTGGGCCCCCGTGGAGGTGGAATGAAGGCTGCGCCCAGCTGCACAGCGCCCTGCTCCAGCCCCATATGTCCTGACGCTGGTGGTGTTTTGTTTTGCAGGTGAGCCGGCCTCATCCCAGGTGGCAGCCTGGGCCCCCGTGGAGGTGGAATGAAGGCTGCGCCCAGCTGCACAGCGCCCTGCGCCAGCCCCATATGTCCTGACGCTGGTGGTGTTTTGTTTTGCAGGTGAGCCGGCCTCATCCCAAAGCTTGTGGTTTGCAGAAAGCAAAACAGAGAAGCAGTGCTTCAGGTGGGACGCTGGCTATCGCATGGGACTGTCCCCCACAGCTGCACAGAAACCAGGTGGGTGGAGGGCGGTGGATTCCAGCCCAGTCCTGGCTGCCTGAGTGGTGCTGTTGCCCTTGTCCCCCACCTCCACACTGCTGTACATGTTGTCGCAGCCAGCCACAGGAGCCCCCGTTCTCACCTTCTCCTCCAGGCCCTTCCCGCATCCCTTCTGGTATCTGGAATCCATACTGTGCATGCAGCACTGGACTGCTTGCTGACTGCTTCATAACTGCTGGCCTGGTCTCCTCAACAGAACAGGAATTCCTTCGGGACAAAGACTAGGGCTTCCCAACATGGCAGAAACTCAGTAAACCTTGCGGTGTGATGGATTTATTGATTCCAAGAGAACTGGCTTGGTGGGGCAGTCTGTGTTGTTAGAGTGGCTGGTCTCCTCAACAGAACAGGAATTCCTTCGGGACAAAGACTAGGGCTTCCCAACATGGCAGAAGCTCAGTAAACCTTGCGGTGTGATGGATTTATTGATTCCAAGAGAACTGGCTTGGTGGGGCAGTCTGTGTTGTTAGAGTGGCTGGGCTACCAGGCTAATTCGAGAAGGCCCAGTGTCCGTTAGTCTCCACACACTCAGCTGAGGAAGGGGACCTGGGTGTCTAGAGAGCTACAGCAAGTTCTTGAGCAGGGAGTGACCTGTCATTGGCTATGACTATTTCTGCTGTTCCTATCACCTGTTATGGTCATAGCTGGGAAATTTCTGATAAATCGGTAAATTCTGCCTCATTTAACACTCTGTCAGCAGTGTTAAGGATCTGTTTAATTAATGAATGCTTGCCTTTTTGAGCAACACTTTTTTTTATCAGAAAAAATACCTCTCACTGCCCCTAACATCATGAACCAAATACTTAGCTCTTCAGAACAGTTATGCATTGTAACAGCCTGACAGACATGTTAATCCTCACTCAAAAAGGATAAAATGCTGACGTTTTCAAAGCCCTGTGACCTGAGTTTGACAACAGAGACCCAGAATCTGCAGTGGCTTTGCTGCAATCTGACCCTGTGCTCAGTCATCTGCAGAGAGAGCTTCTCAAAGAATTTTGGGCTTAAGGAGCAGTCCTGACTACTTGTCCTTCGTGCAAAAAGCTCCCCTGAAGAGTTAACAGGCCCTAGGAAGATTCCAAAGGCAGCAAGGAAAACAGGAGGTGTTATTTATCAGTGTCCTTCACCTCCAAGTTTCTGAAAGTAGGTGGATTACCTGGATGTTTACTGGAGTCACACCTGCTGAGGGGGATCTCCCTTTCTTAGACCTCAACAGACACACAGCTGCCCTGGCCTGGCAGTTAACTCTGCATATCTCAGCTTCCTGCTTTTAGAAGTTTAGTGGAAATCAAGCTTTCCTGTCCGAGCCATCCATGAAATGACCTGCTGACTCATGCCATTACCTGCTTAGTCTCGCTGTTGGAGAACACATGTGACCTAATTGAAGGGGAGAGATTCTGCGAAATCTATGCACCAAGAGACCATCAAAGTCTCATCTGGCAACCAGGAGAGTACTCTGACTTGATCATCAGTGTAAACAGCAATGACATATGTTGCTAATACTCCCATCCAGCCTGTACTTAACCGTCTCCGGGAGTGAGACTCTGCCCCTCCCACTGCAGCCTGCTCGAGTCATGGCGGGCTTCACTCTCAGGTCTGTCTGCTCTCTAGGAAGCCCAAATCTGCCTCCTCAGAGATCTCGCTCATCAGTGCCAGTTCTAGCTCTTGGTCCACACAGAACTTAAAAGCAAACAAGGCTCATCCCTCCTCCACATGGCAGTTCTGCAGACATGCAGAGAGCTCTCGTGTCTTCCCTAGGTCTTCTCTTCCTTAAACTGATTATCTTCAGTTCCTATGGCTGCTCCATTCCCACCCTGTGATGTGGATTTGAGTCCCCTAGAGATTGTGGTGGCCCTCTCAGCCCGTTTGTCTCCCTCTCTCACACTCAGTTGGAACAGAAAGCCATACCCTTGGTGTGGACCAGTCAGTGTGGAGGAGATTGGGGCCACCTTCTCCACATCCTTACCATGGCCTGCAAGGCCCCATGCTGACCCCTACCTACCTTTATGGCTTCTCTTCCTCCCACTCATCTATTGCTTCTTCCCCCGGCCTTTGCACTTTTTGACTGTTGTACCCCAGCACCTCAAACAGGGTCTGCCCCTTGGTGGGTGTTCACAAATGTTCATTGGATGTCCAGTACTGAACCCAGAAACTTTACTTGCATTATTGCAGTCACACAAATGACACCTATTGATTCATACTGAGATTATGGACAGGGGAAACCACTTTGTCCTTTTATCTATTGCTGTTAGAACAACCAATCATCTCTATTAAATTGGATTAACTGATCATTCAACAAACATTTACTGAGCATCTGTTCTGTGCCAAGCACTATTCTTTGTGCTGAGGACAGAGCAGTGGGCAAGCTAGACATGTTCCTTCTTTCATGGAACTTACATTCTACCAGGGAGTGATTGACAATAAACACGGAAACCCCAGCTCATGATAAGTGTACACAGGAAAGAGAGAGATGCTGTGGTGGGAAGAACCAGAAGGAAGAGCTTCCTTTAGAAGGCACAAGCTCCTCATGGAGGAGAAGACTTTGGACCTGAGATTTGAAATGCATTCAGGGATCAGCTATTCAGAGGAAACTGATAGAATTGTTTGAGGTACTTCCAGAAATGAACTATCTTCTACAAAAAGTGACAAGGATAGCATGAAACACAGGAAACCAGAAACCATATTCCCACCTGCTAGTCCCTAGGTCTCTTATCCTCTGAAATGGGCATGTTTGCTCTGCTCTCACTGCCCGTGGTTGTTAGAAGATGTGCTGAAGGGAGAACACGGGCAAGCTGGAGAATGCCCTTTCCTGACTACAAAGACGGCGTCAGGGAGGACAGCTCCCCCACCCCACACAACCACAAGCACAGTGCGGGAGACTTTCCAGGCTTCCCCTCCCGCTGACACACGTATGCCCAACGCTAGGCTCTGTCTCCTCGTTCACTTGCTGCTGGTGTGTGGCTCCATGGCCAGCTGACCCCTGTAGCTGGGTGGTGGCCGAGAGGCCATCAGAAGCCTATGATTGGGAGCAGAAAATAACAGGGAGGAACCCTCCCAGAAAATACAGGGAAAGGCCAGCTCGGGAAGAAGAGAAGGGCCAAGCGGGCACACTGGGTCTGCATCTGCTGCTGTTCATAGATGGGCACATGCGTGCTGCCCACCCACTCTTTCACGTAGTTCTGCATTTCTGGAGTTGAATATTTAGTAAGAACATTTTTTTTTTAAAGGAGTCGATCCAGAAATATGCTCATACACATACAGTTTTGCATAGAAAATAACAGGGAGGAACCCTCCCAGAAAATACAGGGAAAGGCCAGCTCGGGAAGAAGAGGAGGGCCAAGCGGGCACACTGGGTCTGCATCTGCTGCTGTTCATAGATGGGCACATGCGTGCTGCCCACCCACACTTTCACGTAGTTCTGCATTTCTGGAGTTGAATATTTAGTAAGAACATTTTTTTTTAAAAGGAGTCGATCCAGAAATATGCTCATACACATATAGTTTTGCACGCAACTTTAGTAGTTCAAGGATACCTAAATCCTGGCTCTAAAACCTGCCTCCAGGTTATTCTAGAATTGATGGGAAACCCCAGGGAAAAGAGTCGAGTGACCTTAACAAAAAAAGACAACAGAAGAGACAAAAGTGAAAAGATGATCTGAAATCTCACACTTCCAGTTCTGCAGGAGAGCCTTATAAGCACAGCACCCCAACCTCAGGCAATGTGAGAGGTTCTTGAGGAGTGTTCCAGTAAGGCCAGTCCACTGTCCCACTGGTTTAACCATGCCAGCCTTTTATGTTTAACACAGGTGTGTGAGTGTGCCCATGGGACACGTGAGCAAGTGGGGGTGGATAGTGCCTCAGATATGATACGTGCTCAAAGAACAGTTCTACAAATGGATGAATATGCATATTGGTACCTGTGCATATGTGGGCTACTTATGGGAAGACTCTCCCAAGTTTAAAAGAAAAAGGGAGAAAAAAATTTACTCCCTGCCCCTTTTAATTCTGCATGTTGGAAATCAGAGAGCTGGAATCTAAATCCCAGGCTTCCCCACTTCCTCTGTGTTCAGCAGATGTAGAACAGGAAGATGCTGGCACCTACGAATTACAGCAGTGGCCTGGGGAAGTGGAAAGCCAGTGGGCTGGGTCCCTCCCAGGCTGGGATGCTTGTGCAGAGTCAGGGCAGGCCTGAGAACAGAGACTGAACAGTCCCCCTCCAGCTGGAGGAGAGCGCCAGCCTGGGGCTCTGAAGCTGCTGTCAACTTGGTGCATGGCTCTTGGGAACCCTGGTGTCCTCCGCCACATCTCAGTCAGCCAGCATATGTCTTTGATGTCAGATTTCTGCTTTGTCCCAGAGGCCTGTTTTTGACAGCTGAGCAACATCTTCAAATACTCCAGCACAGAGCAGCGTACAGTTAGCAACATTTGGTGACACCTAAATCACAGTTACTCTGCAGCAGAATTCAGGCTGTTTGAAAAAATTTTTAGTCTCCCTTAAATACCCTGTTTCTCATGTTTGGGTGTAAAATCTATCTACAGTCAAGCCAAGACTCTCCTCACCAGTTGTTCCTGTGGGAGGTGTTCTGGACTGCAGTGGCAGCGGATGTGTATGGTGGGTGGGCTGCGCTGTGGGCACCACTGGGTATCCTGGGCAGCACGCTGCACACCTCTGGCTTGAGCAGGAGGCTCATCAGCACTGCAGGGCTGCACTTGGCTGGTGGTGGGTAAAGGTGGGGTGGCTA